TCGAAGTGGTTCAACCGTAGCCCAAATCGATGGCACCCTAAGTAGGGAAGGAGATAGCCTGCTCCTTGAATTTTGTCATAAATGGCTTGTTTGTCCCATCCTTGTATGCAAAGGAAAACAAGCTATCTGCCAGAAAAATTTCTGCACGCCCATGAATAGCACTATGACAAAAGATGTATCGCATATCGCAAAATTTGGGCGTAGGCTAAAATATCTTCAGAAGCTAAAGCGACGTCGTATGCCATAGCACTCCATCCTAAATAGCAAAATAAAAAAAAATCCCTTTTTTACAAGAGAGGGTGTCATAGCATGCTGTAAGTATTGCACTGCAAGGCATCAAAAACCGTACCAGGGACTTCCCCTTCTGTTGTCCAGACATGACCCATCGGCATGAATCACTGAGGCCTGTGCAAATTATGTAACGTAAACCTGAACTTTGATATTGTAAAGAATTGTTTACGCCTTTCCAACTGACAAACAGTCCATATCTAAGAGATCCTTTTTGCTGGAAAAATGTATAAGGCATACCGAGCACATGGAACGAGCCAGTTCGTCTGCGAAATTCTGGAATGGGATGATGTTGTGCTTCTTGAGCATTGGGAATTCCACAAACACCGAGTTTTTAAGTCTGTACCAGAAAAAAGCCAGCTCTAACTTCAACAATGTTTGGAGATCGCTCCCCAGCATCCTCAAAATAGTAATTCCCAGATACATTTACCTCCGAACGATAGTGAAACATTCAAGCGACCCATTCATCTGGATGGGGTGCAATTGGAGCGAGATGGAGAGTTGAATAAAGAATTTCGACAAGAGGTAAGACTCTTTTAGAATTTTTTTTATCACAGAAGAAATGGTGGATTTAGGTGTTGTTAGGTGGTGATCCGAAGGATTCTGTAGAGCTGAAAGAAATGGTCAGACAGATGTTTGAGGCGTATGTTGTTTTATGCTCGAGAATTTTTTTTTGTTTATTGCTTTTGTTTCTAGAAGCGATGTAGACAAAGATGGCTTTCTAACACTTGAAGAATTAGAAGGACGAATCGTGAACAATACCAGAGCTCACCTGGAGGAAGGTATTGAAGAAGCTAGGACTCACTTCGATATTGTGGACATGAATGGCGATGGCAAGGCAGGATTTTTCATTGATTCATGCGAATATAGAGTTTGAAATTATTTTCAGGTGTCCTGGAGTGAGTACGAACCTCACTACTTGTCAGAAGATTCTAAAAATGATGGACATGATCATAGAAACGTTGCTGACAATGGTGAGAAATAATCGAGAAGTTAGATGCTACTGAAAGATTTTAGATTTGTCGTTACCTGGCCCAGAACGAGCATCTTTCGATCGAGCAGACAAAAATGCCGACGGATACCTTGACCCTGAGGAATGGTTGAGGTTCTTAATTTTTTCGCCAGCCAGCTCTCCTCCCAAATCTCAGAAGACTTTCTAGATTTTTCCATCCTGAACATAACAATGACTCTCTGATGGATATGGCACGTGATATACTCAAACTGTACGGTAGGTTTCTTCAATCAGTCCAACTCTATATCATCGTTTTCGCATTTCCAGGAAGTTAATTTTACATTGTACATTAGTATTACAAACACATGCATTATTAAAAGTAAATCTCGGTGTTTATTTTTT